CCAGCATCACCTTAAGTCGTCTTTTAGATATGTATGTCTAAAAGACGACTTAGCGATGTCTCAAAGATGTCTTTTAGAGATGCGTGCTGTATGGGACATTTTCTTATTTATTTTTATTTTATAATTTTTTATAAAATAAAATATTTTTATTACTTACGTGCTTGACTGGATGGTTTCGGATATTTTATCATTGTTACTGCTGTTTCTTATTCCCTCTTCAATGCATTAACATAAAGTAATGAATTATTTAATTTTAATGATAGTTTTTTGAAACTATCTACACTAGTCAGTGTCTTTATTTAAAAAAAACAATGACGTTTCGGTCTCGGATTTAAACCCTTATCAAGTATTCTGCAAACATACATAAGTTAACATTATTTTTTTAAATATATAAATATAAAAATATAGCACAAATAATTATAGCAATCGGGTATCGAAATAAATAAGACGAATGAGAAAAATAATGAATGCGTGATAAATCCTAATATAAAAATTACATATAGAATCACATGTATTCTAACACCTTATCATATACGGGATTTAGATTTTCAGTGTCCCTTTTTAACTTGATAGCGTTCTTTTGCTTTTTTATGAAGAACATCTCAGCAATGTCGCGTTTCCGTGTGTGTTTTTCATTATGTAAAATTTCCGACTCTAACCATTTTAAATCATGATCATAAATTAACCGGTGTTTGCTTACTACCGATAAATTACTCTCGTGTTTTCTTATGACATTGCAATGTTCTTTTACTCGTGTCTCGAGATGTCGCTTGGTTTGTCCGATGTAAGACGCGTCACAATTCTTACAATTAATTTTACATTTAATTTTACATAAAGCGCAAACTGCCTAACCTCAGCCTACACAATTGTCTGTTTTAATATACACTCGCATTTCGCAACAACATAGTTTTATAATTCAATTAAGCAACGATTATCTTCCCTGAATCTTTAACTGTTGTTTAAGTCCAGAACATAAGTGAACGAGCAAGTAACATAAGAAAGATATAAAATTATTGTACGTACCGTAACTCATCCAGCTCAGAAGCGCACTGTCATGACACCCAATAACAAAAATATGCTATTACGCAACAGTTAACAGGAGAAAAATTAAAGTGTTCTGAAATGGATACTGTTCCGAAATAAGTTCGCTCACACTATTGACGCTCCTCCAACTAAAGAGAAGGGCTCCTGCACGCTTAACTTATATGGCTAGAATAATCAGAAGCAATCATCAAACAATACTCATAATCAGTACATCTTTTTTAGGTAGAGAGGTATTTTCAGTCAATAAGAGTTCTTTTGTTGAGTTTAGAAAAATTTCGATAAAAGGAATTCAAACTATGTATCAACCCATACATCACGTATGTCAGAAATATTTACTTAAAATATTTTTTGAAAGATATCTGCCTGATAAATATATCTAAATGTCAGTTATAAGAGGTTTTTCAAAAGTGTTTGAGGGATTTCTTACATCTGAAAGATATATTTTGAAGGAAATTTAATAAATCTTTTCAAATCGACATTAAAATGTTATTTTAAAAATAATTTCTATAAGATATCTTTTAAAAAGCTCTTTATGATATCCTATTTATGATGTCTATTTAAACGTTCGTACGAATAATGTCAAATGACAAAAAATGACCGTCATATATAAGTCTTTCGAATGACATTATAATGACGTCATTATATATTACGTCCATTTGACGTAATATTTAGGTCATAATATGTAAATATGTATTAACTCAGTATATATATACACATTGTATATAATATCTGATAAAAGTATTATTCAGATTGATTTTTAATATAGTATTAATACAACAAAGTATGTAATCGAAATATCAAAGATTGTTTAAAAATCTTTCAGGAGAAATATATTTAAAAGTCTAGAACAATTTAGAATTTCTCAGAATATCCCAAATAAAGGAAGCTGTGTGGGTTACGTTCAAAAATAATTTTTAATATTTAATAACATTTAATAAAACCATGTTATGTACAAGTATGTGTATAATTATATTACACATTGCAAGAAGGAAGTGTTGGAGCCAAAGGATCACCGCTATTCCATTCAATCATCGAGGTTAAGGGGTGGTGGAGTGATTCTGCACTTTTGCATTTTTTGTACTTAAAACTGTCTGTTTCGTGGAAACATTTGTGTAATATACAAATTAAATGACTTACGTATACCGATCGAAAGCAGCTTGCTATTCCGGTTAAATTAAAGAACAATATGGCATCACCGAAACTAAGTGTGTAAATCTAATAAGAAATAATAGTGAGCAACACACATACCGTACATATCTAAAAGAGGACTTAGAGATGTCTTAAAGATGTCTTTTAGACATGCGTGCTGTATGAGATACGTATTGCAGGAAATCTCAAAAATGTTATTCTTTCCGATAACTTTTGAAAGAAGACTTTCAATTCTC